CCCGGTTGGTCACTAATTAGGTGGGTGGACTGACTTGCAGTGTGCTGTGAACCAGCATTGCCAGCCGAAACACCAAATCAAACACGCGAAAATGGTACCCACCCATCCCCCATGGCTCAACAATCCAAATCATTAGAGCACAACCAAATGTATGCCAATGTCTGTTGCAGCGACGTCAATCTGGTATGAATGTCTCGAGACATATCAGTCTCGCAAGCATTCATTTTAGAAGGATTTCTTTGATGCCACGTGCTCCTAAGATAATAATTAATGTGCTTTCACATATTTGTATTGAATACACCCGAAAGTAACTGCAATATAGTTGGACGTTGTTGTGTAACCTTGCTGTAAGTACTGATCTTAAACATTTACAGCCAATGCATTCCTCCATCGCCAATGCAGATCAGTAAGAGAAGGGAACTACGAATATTGCATCTCAGCTAAGATGCATTGGTATTGTTGGCATCAAATATCTTCTCACATGCATGAGCATTTAAAGAAATCAGGTTACAATTTCGTGGTCGGTAGCTTAAGCACCAGTCTATTTGTAATGGTTAAAGAGGTGATATGACTGTGGCGATCGCCAAGCAGGAAGCTAAGGAAAAGAGGATAAATTTTGTGATTTGATGTTCTTGTTAAAATATGGGAACCAAGTAGTGGTATTCAAGCAATGCCAATAATGACTTAATATTACGGTACAGTAATAGTGCATGTTCTTCACACTGCCTCGGCCGATTACGACTTGATCGATGCCGTTGCTCAAAATAATCACTGGCGCACTAAGACCAGACTACTAAAAAAAGACACAAAGCCGTTAACTGATGTCACATGACTGGAATACTGGATGAGGCTTTACTCATGTCATCCCCGCCTCACCCCAGGTGCCTGTCAATCAACCATCAGCCGTCGCCGCCGCCACCGCCACCGCAGCTGGACGGCAAATAAGTGCGGTAACATCAAGTCTAGAAGGCACTGTGACTAAAGGGGGAAGAGGGGAGCGGAGGCGAGGGGAGGGGGGGAATACTCCGCCGCTTTGTGCGTGGCTGTGAGGCTTGTTAATTAATTAGTTTCTCCCACCATAAATGGACAGACTG